CATTTTTGCTCAACCTATTGATTCCAATAAATATTTGTTTGCTGTTAAGGAAACCGAACCAATCATGTAGAAATAGGTGAAGTACTCATAGTTATCGCAAAAAATTTAATCTTAATCATAGACATGCAAGATGGCAATTTGATACGCTTATCCGTAGTGCAAGTTCAGTACGACCCGTATAATTCCAATCAATTAATAAAATTGAAAAATATAAAAAGCTGTGTCACTATGGGATGACTGATTTTGTGAAAGCGGATTAATTTTAGTATTAACGTTGCTGTTATATTCCCGAATGCACTCTTGATGTAGTTTTACTCACTTTTTCTGTGTTATCGTATCTCACTGGACCAATTATTGCACCGTGTTGAATAAATCGGTGCTACGCTACTGCATTCTTCCTACAAAACTTCACAATCGTCATGTCAAACCAAGATTACTATCAGCAAGGTTGGGACCCTCAGCAGCGCTCCCACACCCACAATCTACCAACACTCGGTAGCCAGCAGTCACCTCAAGTGTTCAAAGTTGACTATCAAGGTCCTCCTGTTCCTCCACAGCGGCATTCGTTAGATCAACAACCCCAGTTTGTACAACATCCCAACCAACATCAGATCCAAAGGCTAGCAGGCAACCCCCCTCATGCTCTGCAGTATCCATCTTATATGGAGAAGAGTCTGCACGAGCATCCTATCCAAAACAATCACCGTCAACAGTACCAGATTCAACAAAGCACAGGTTCATCGGTGGCTCAACAAGTCTATTATCCGGAAATTCAACGAATACAAATATCTCAGCCTCACGCGCCGACAACTGTCCCTAAAAATTCGTACCCGTTCAGAGTTGACACTTTCTCGACTTTTCCGTCCAGGCATGGCCAGTTAAGAGATCCTCATTCTATGGGAGCACAAGATGTATCATCAATTCGCAACCAGATGAGTGCTGTGAGTTCTCATGATTATTCATTTCGCCAAGAAGTTGCTCCAAAACCTCCACCAGAAAACTTTCGACCTTCCATCATGCCCACCTCTTTCAGTCATCCTATCACGTTACAGACTTTCCAACCTCAGCTTCAGCCAAACAATGGACACCACTTGCCTTTGACATCACAACCTCACAGTAACTTTCACCCAAATTACCGTGACGAGTCAACGGATCTACAATTATCGTATCCAAAGCTCTCTCAGGCAAGTGAAGCGCCCGTTTCTCAACAAACTCTTAGAACTTTTCAAACTAAACGGAATCAATTCTCAACTCTTCCGTCTTCTGTATCGAAGCCCATTCCTTTACCACGAAGACCAGGGCAGAGGCCTCCCATACGGAGACAGAACAGCTTCTCTGGCTTTCCTTCATCATTTTCTGAAAGTTCCAATAGCACCTCGTTCGGAGACTCTAACGATGTGCCCTCAAGCAGTCCTTCTGAATATAAGCCTCATGGTGAACCTTCATCTGTTTCATGGAAAAACGGCGAGCATATTCAAACCAGTTCTTCTACACGTGGGGCACCACTTACTAAAGGACGGCTGAATAACGGGAAGCATGCCCTGCCTAATCATCCAACTTTAGCCACTTTCACTTCCATCCAGCCAATCTCCATATCCTTTGACCGCACTGTAAATGCTTTCGCTGATAGTCATGCTGGAACCAGCTCAAGTTTGCGACTGGTAGGCAGTATGTTCGAGACAAATGCTACTCAAGCCAACTTGGACTCGTCTTCTACTCGAAATGACTTATTCGCTCCAACTACGGCATTTGGAAATCACTACGCCAATGCTACTAATACCATTCATACTAGTAATGCGGGTCTTAACTCTAAGATAGTTTACTCTAGCTCAGTGTCCACTACCAATACAGAGACTAGTATTGTTACCAGTATTAGTAAGTCTAGTTGTGGTAGTACATACGATGTTCAAGCACCAAATACAACTGGTGACCTTAAAAACCGTGTCGATTCCATTGATGTTTTCACATCATCTTCTTCAGCTTCAATAAAACGAGAACTTCGAACTGGCCCCGGCATTTTTTATTCTTTGCCCCGTCACGCCACCACCGCTAGCAACCCTTCGCTACTAAGAACGTCTGCATCTGGATTAGGTTTATACTTCATGTCTCGCAGAGCCACATCGTCCACTACTGAAGAGTCTGCTGCGAAGAAGTTAGGAGTTTCAATTCCGTCTGGATCGAACAAGTTTCGTTCTCTACCTCGTTCGGCGTACAAGAACCAGGTGAATGTGGCAAAATCCCAAGGCTACCTCTCTCTACCGAGACCATCTAGAGTTTTATCTACATTAACGACTCTGTCCCTACCGGCAACGGATCAAATCTCGACCGAGAATACACCAGTAACTTCAATCTGTAGTGTATCTAAAAGAACTAAAGATAGAGAAATGGGTGAAGGGAAGGAGAACATCGATATTCTGTACTCTAAAAAACGAGATGATGATCAATCATGCAGACCATTGCATAAAGATGTTGATCTTAAGTATCAGAGCTTGCCAAGGAAAAAAAATTTGGATTTGAAACACCTTTCTCTGCCGAAAAAAGTTCCTAAGGAGTTTAAAGATATAGACTCCAAGTACCAATCTTTACCAAAGAAAAAGTCTAAAGATGTGGATGGAAAATATCAGTCACTGCCGAAACGCAATTTTGGTGAAAATGAAGGTCGTCATTTGAGTTCTTCACGAAAAAGTAAAGATCATGATCGACACAACTCTTCTAAAAGGTCATCCTCCCGCGAATATGAAGTACGTAATAACAAACGTGAAAATCGAAGCCAATCAAGCCACGGTAAAAGCTCAGGCAAACGGTCATCAGATCCTCCTCGAAGCCCACGGTGGATTCAGTCAGATTCTGACGAAGATGACTTATATTCATCCATTAAATCACGCGATGATTCTTCGCACCAATCATCGATTCCGGAAATTCCTTACTCTAGACCTCTACCACCACTTCCTGCCCCATCACGATACCGTCGTCGCACGACAGAAAAAGACGATCAATCTCCTCCTGTACCACCTCCCCGCGTTTCAACTTTAACATCAGTAGCAGGCGGTCTTTCAGCCGATCCTTCATTGGATTCTTCAAGGCGAATTTTTCCAGTAGAAGCGATCCAACCACCGCTTGATAAAAGTACAACTCTCCTTACGAATACAGATTACTCGAAAGATTCAGGATATCATCCTCCACCTCCGAGAATTCCCCACTCAAAACTTTCGAGCACCAAGATGTCCGAACTTTTGGTAGATACTATTCGAGTCTCTTCTGCCAACAATCATACGATGACTCTCCGTGACTCACCACAAGGAGGCACATACCCTCCAAATAGTTCCGCTGACTTGATGCCTTCCTTTTCTCAACGTAAAACTACGTTCTCGGAGTTCAATAATGCTGCATCTGGCTTTTCTTTGACTCTACCTTATCCAGGAGCGCACGGATCATCACGAATTCATCGAGGATACGGACCTAGAAACTTGCTCGAACATAGTGCTCCGTTTGATGGAACTTATCCTCGTAATATGTCGAAAATGAGTCAGCCAAGCTATTCTAGTAGTCACCAATCTCAGCAATACGGTGTACAAAGTAATAAGGATATTCCTGGGGCAAATCTTAGTAACATGTCTGGTTCGTACAAACTTCGTTATCTTGACATGGTTCAGCAATTCCCTCAAAACCGCTCTATCCATTCTGGATTACCATCCTCAGCTATTCCGTTGCCTGGATTGTCTGCTGAATTTACTCCTGGTGGATTTGCCAGTTCTAGAGCCATATTCTCAGGTATTCCAAGGAATTCTGTTTCCGGCATTCCCCCTCCCTTGGATCCTCCTCCTAAAATACCATTATCTGAATCCAATAAGGATTTTACTCAACCAGCAACGTGTCCTGCTGAAAGTCCTTTGTACGTATCTGATCCTCTATACGAAGTACCTCAAATACCTCAAGGCCCAACCTTCCAATGCGACTCGGAAAGCGACGTCCGTAACCAATTTCGAAGGCCTCGTGACTCGTTGCTGGTGCCGGATAGCAACGGTGCCCTCAACAATCAGTCTCCTAGTCCTGAAAACTTGTTAACGCGAAGTGAACCATCTGGAGAAGAAGATCATTATTCTTCAATTCCTTCATTGATGAGTACAACTCCGGAGACACCGCCATCTTTGCCCAGAGACCCTTGGCCTAATCGTGTGGCGAATTCTTCTTCTTGGGACTCCATTGGGTCTTCTGGATTTTCTTCGATGGGGTCGTCTAGAGGATTCTCTGGCAACACGTCAAGTAGCAGAGAATCAGCAGCGGCGCGACGTCGTCGACGTGCAAGATCCGATCCCAGAATGGATGCGGGAGCTTTGAATCGGTTATCATTTTCTGTCTATAATTCCGACATAAAGATTAAAGACGAGGTTAGTGGTTTCTTCGATTATTTTTCCACATTTGGTAAATTTTTTAAATCTAAATCGAAGAGGCTCAAACCATTATTGTAAAAATTTACTTTCTGCCGGCTGGGTGTGGACCTTATGGTGTTTCGCTATCTGCTGACTGTTTTGTGGCATTTTTTTTCTTGATAATAATGTATATTTGCTAATCCGTTTAGTGTGGTTTGGGGTTAATTGAGTAATGTAAACTATTCAAAGTTTCTGCATGCGATGGATTTCACAACTCCGAAGCATAAACTTCGGTCAAAAACTTTTCCAAGCCTGAACTGCATTTTGCATTAATTGTGTCGAGATGAGCCCAAAGCTACATCGATTCATCATGCATAAGGCAATTCATGTTTATTTAGGTTAAATTTCATGGCAGTTTAATTGCACCATTTTATTGCTCAAACTTTGCACTCTTGTACTCATGACTCTCGTGTTTTATGCGTGCAAAAAGTGTTATTTGATTTGCAGTTATTTTAATCTGCAAAATTTACCAGTCAAATTAATCAAGGCCAGAAGATAGGGATAGGCTGAAAGTTATAAAAAAAAATTTCAAATGCATTTTTTGCTAATATTGTTGTTTTACGTTTACAGAGCCACCTGGAAGCCACTGATTCGACTAAACAGCCTTTGTCCAGCAGCAGAAATGTGAGTTTTATAAAATATATTAAGTTAAATTTAACTTTGGTATTATTACAGTTTTATTTAAATATTGAAGTGCGGTGTAACTTATATGAAAGCTTCTTAAACTCGTTGTTTCGTGTAATTTTTTCACTATAATAATGAAAAATTTTGATGTATTACAGATATTGATGCAATCCGAGTTATTTAAAATGTGTTACTCATAATACTTCTATTGGATATTTTTTCATATTTTTTATCTCCATTTTTCCGCCTATAAATCAAAACAACGACATCCGTTGTTATGACGCACATTTTGTCCGAAATTCCCTTCACTTTTTTCGTGATGTCATTTTTGCTGTTCGCATCATTATTTTCACTGAGGTTCGGGTTTGTTTGTCCCAAAAAGAAAGCATTTCTGGGGCATGGTATTATAGATAATAATGATGTGCACAACAAAGATGTAAGCCGCTAGGCCGCTCTCGAGGCCTTCAGCCTCCATGGCCACGAGATGCTCGAGTTGTTCAATATTCAGACGCCTCTTATTCAAGGCGCCTGAATAATAATAATATTCAAGGCGCCGTTATTCAATATTCAGACGCCTCTTATCCTCAAGCAGCCACTTGTATTCATCGATTGCCATAAGCCCACAGGATGTGTGAGCGCTCGTCCCTGATCTATCGCAATCGCCACGTGCAACTTACGTTCACCAGTAGCCATACTATCAGAAATAGTCAAAAGTTCGTAAATCCGTCAGCCAGTCACGTAAATCCGTCACCGAGACAAGTCACGAAAATCCTTCAGCCAGTCACGTAAATCCGTCACCGAGACAAGTAACGTAAATCCTTCAGCCAGTCACGTAAATCCGTCACCGTGACAAGTCGCGTAAATCCTTCAGCCAGTCACGTAAATCCGTCACCTTGACAAGTCACGTAAATCCTTAAATCCGTCAGCCAGTCACGTAAATCCGTCACCTTGACAAGGCACGTAAATCCTTCAGCCAGTCACGTAAATCCGTCACCTTGACAAGGCACGTAAATCCTTCAGCCAGTCACGTAAATCCGTCACCTTGACAAGGCACGTAAATTCTTCAGCCAGTCACGTAAATCCGCCACCGTGACGAGTCACGTAAATCCTTCAGCCAGCCACTTATTCTGACGACCTGTCAAGCTTAATCCACCAATCGCAGACGAGAAATTATTGGCTGCTACGCGTTACGTGAGTGAGTTTTGATAGTAACACCTGGGGTTAATAGTAAAAATATTCTAATACCTAGTCTTAATTTTTCGTAACCTTCTTCGTGGATGAATTATGAATTCATTTCTCGATTATGATCGTTAGAACTTTTGAAAGTTAGAATATATACACTTTTTTATTCACAGTATTCTCTATTTATTTTTATCAAAACGCTCTAAATTGGGTTATTTTGTCTATTTCAGAGCGAAAAACTTATATTGATGAAAAAATAGAGCATTACTTACATGCACCGGGAATGGTTGACTTTTCAATCTAATATTCGATTTTGCAAAATTTATGCAATTTTGTTTTTAATTTTGAAAAGTTACTTCAATCTATTAATTATGCTGCTGAAATTAGTTTCTGGGTTGAATTCACTTGTTTAAAATATATTTCTTAACAAATTTTCATATCATTAAAGGCAGAAGTTTAGTATTACTATCACGAATGTTTAAGAGGTTCCATTCTATTATTTCTGGAATCAAATATTGCAATCAAATTGAGTGATCAATGGCTTCGTAATAAGACCAAACAGGAGATTTGGTCTTTACGAAGACCAAATCTCCTAACCACGAAGACCTAACCTAACCAAACAGGAGATTCTTTTTAATTTGCTCTAGAGAAAATTTTTCCCAAATATTTTCGTGTCCATTTTCGGAATTTTATGTAAGAATATAAATACGTTGACGCATTATTATTTTATAGCCGTAGTGGATTCCCGACTGATGAAGTTTTTGAGGAAAATTCGGGAGGTCGTCAGAAATAAATGAAATCTAGATTACAGAAATGCAATGAGATAAATGAGAGATGAATGAAATCTAGATAAATGAAATACAGGCCATGGGCCTACTTCTTCAACGCCGACACTTCTATTCTATTCTATTTTAGATTATTCTCAGACGCCGGATCTTCATTTCCTGACACCAAAGTATCCCTTGGCTTTCTGAAGCAGGTTGAATTTAAGACAATAATTTCTCCTTCATGAATTTCAACTTTTCTTTGCGCAAAGATCCGACCGACCTTGAGTACTTTAGTTAGAGCTTTGCTATCAAATTGCAAATGCATACTTATAAGAGCTCAGTCCACAAGCTGAAATTAAGTCTTCGCGAAAATTTAACACTCGTTTCGCGTCTTCTCAGTATTCTGAATCCCTGATAATGATGTTTATACTGTAATCGTTATATAATTAACTCTGATATATAATGGCAATTTTACGACAAATTTTGTTATTCCAGAATAACAATTGACATAGTTGTTTATAGGGCACTTTAGGGTATCACGGCAGAGTTCCATAAACTTACTCCCTGCCTCGATTGAATTTCAAACTCAAATGAATGTGAAAGCTCGATGGTGAAAGTCGGAAGAAAATTTTTACCATCGTGGTGAGCTCGATTTACAATGAACATTTTTTAACATACCCTAGCTGTATCATAGAACGCAGCATGTGAAATAAATTCCTGAATACAGACCAGAGTATCAAGCAAGAATTCCGGATAAAATCGGTGAAGTTTTTATTGAAAGACCTGCTCAATTCCTTCAATTTCTACTGATAGCGAGTAAATTTAGACCTGGTGTCCCAATTCTAATATGAGTAGAAGATAACCCATGTAATTTTAAATACATTATTCAGTATTTCGCGATAAATATGGTCTAGTATATAAATACTGAAGTTAACCGTAGCTGCGTGATTAATATTAATTTGTACATAGGATAAACACAATAAATGTTATAGCTCATGAGAGATTTGCCGAAACCTGCGTTCCGTCCTGACTGTCTTATACTTACAACTAATTCTAAGTGTGTCTGTATTTTTTATCGTATCGGTACATTCTAAAATGAGATCAAGATAAATCATTTAATGAAAATCTGTGAAATCGACAATGGTGTGGAATAATTAAACTTGTGTCAAATTTTATTCATGGAAGACTTTACTATTTACATTAAGTAATTATTTCGTACGCAATGATAATAAAAAACAAAACCCGGCTGAAAACGCATGGACAACACGGAAAATTTTAGTTCGTACACAAAAAATTTACTCTCGTACTCAAGGAAATTTAACTGTCAATAGAAACCCATGAAGTAAAAAAAATCGCAATGTTAAAAATAAATTCCAAAACCTTCAAAGATCGAAAAAAGCCGATATTTGTGACAGAATTTATATATCGCACAACACGGACGACGTGCTCACTCGTCGTGGATGTTGGGACCGCTGACTTGTTTGACGAAGATCCAATTCCTGATAACGTATTGCTTCGTCGCGCGTAATTACATGCGAAATTGTAAGCTTTGTTGGCACGACAGTTGGCCGTACGGTTTTCTCCGCCGTTGCTACCGTGCAGTTCTGTCAGTGGTTGCTACCGTACGGTTTTCTCCGCCGTTGCTACCGTGCAGTTCTGTCTGCCGTTGCTACCGTGCAGTTCTGTCCGCCGTTGCTACCATGCAGTAGTTCTGTCCGCCGTTGCTACCGTGCAGTAGTTCTGTCCGCCGTTGCTACCGTGCAGTTCTGTCCACCGTTGCTACCGTGCAGTTCTGTCTGCCGTTGCTACCGTGCAGTTCTGTCCGCCGTTGCTACCGTGCAGTTCTGTCCGCCGTTGCTACCATGCAGTTCTGTCCGCCGTTGCTACCGTGCAGTTCTGTCCACCGTTGCTACCGTGCAGTTCTGTCCACCGTTGCTACCGTGCAGCAATTCTGTCTGCCGTTGCTACCGTGCAGTTGTCATATTGACAACTGCACACATGTGTTCAACTCCCTTACTTACACCTGTGTTCACGTTACATTCTATCAACATTACAATGACTGTAGAGCTAACAATTATTCTTACTGCAATCCAGAACCAGAAAGATTGCTTGATGCTCTCTGAATATAATCCCTGGTGGAGCGTTTTGTGTAAGAATAAAGTTAATAGCGTCTTATCAGTAACAGTTATTGCTAGATGCTTTCAATCCTAGAATTTCAAAGTTGATTCCACCTAATTTGAAGATCTGTAATTTCCGTATCGTAAACAATTACCATTTGAACAGTTCAAAAATTTAATATCATGCCATAAATTAAATTAAAATAGCACATTAAATATGGTTTTTCCTTTGCGCATTCTCTAGTCAACTTTTTCAAGGTATAACTTAATAGATTTAATCTGAAAAGTTTCTGTGAGCGACTTCATTTATTTATTTATTTATTTATTATTGATCACTGATCATCAATGCAATGATTTGATGATGATCATCAATGAAAATAGCGACCAATCAACCGAATTATCTAATTTATTTATAAATTGTATACTTGATTACTTGATGAGACGTTCCTAAGACGTTCCTAATTCAACATTGTAACCCACCTGGCGCAATCAACATTGATATACTGTAGGTCGATTTACGTCGATTACGTCGAAAAACAATTTATGTTGATTAGAAATGTTTTTTCAACGTTATTTGCTTGAATGAAAGCTTCTAAATGTCTTTAAAATTGTCGAGCTTAGTAGCTGTATTATTCAAGGTGTGCAATATTGTCGTACGCAATAGCAATGAAGCGCCGCGGTGATGGTAGCGCTGCTCTCGCAGCCACCGCTGGTAAATTGCAAGGGTCAAGTCGCTCTCTCCTGCTCTCTTTCTCCCTTTCTTTTCCTTCCTCTCTCCTTCTCAACTTCTATTCCTCTCTTCCTCTTCCTCTCTACTTTTTTGCCTCACTTCCACTCTACTTCTATGCCTCTCTTACTCTCTACTTCTATTACTCACTTCCTTTTTCTCTCTACTTCTTTCGCTTTATTGCTGTTCATCTCTGCTCCTACTACT